CCTCTCCTATTCTCAAACTAAACAGGTCTTGTGTTGTTGAGAGGAACAACTCTGGAACTAAACTTGTCACAATTCACGCTCTTTTAACAGTAGTCCTGACACCATTTTTTAAAGTAATCCCTAAATACAAGAAGTGGGAAAATTTGGGATGGTACAATGTTTTACAAAAGGCTCTCCAAAACATTTCTGGTGCCATGCTAAGAAACTGTTAGAGGTATATTTTAGGTTATGTCTATATTGGCAAATAGTGTGGACCCACAGGAGCAGATCAGAAGTTAGTGCAGAGGCTCCAACGTCCGAGTACTTGCATTTCTGAGGGTCTCCTGGCTTGTTCCAGTCTGGTCCTGGAGCCTGAACGCTCGTTAGTGGTTGTGGTGTATTAGCGGCACCCCTGCAGTTCATTTCAGGTTTAGTTTCATCTAGATGGGATCTAGTTTGCGTGTTCCAAGACCACTCAGTGAGGCAAATCAAAGTGAGTTAAGTGGAGCTCATTAGGAGGTGCATTTCAGAAGTACAGCCTGTGCCCCAGCCAAAATGTCAGTGAAGAGCACCCTGCCACAGGCACACCCAGAATCTCCAACCTGAACCAGTTCTGCAAAGGACCAGGCTGAGTGCACCTGCACTTAACCAATTTTTATGCCCTTCATATGGTAGTTGCATACCCTGATTATATATAAAGTGAGTTCTCTATGGAAAACAAAACATCATGAACTGCTCCCCCTTGTCCTTCCTTAAAAAAAGAAGAATCAACAGATGCAAAATTTAGGCTTATTTGACCTGTTTACACTAAGTTAACTTCTTGAGGTAAAAGCACAGACTGAGTATGGTAAGTTACTGTGAAAAGCACTGGAAAACTTAATGAGGAAAAAAACCCCCTAACCCCTATCAATGAAGAGATCCCTACAGTGATTTTGCACGGGGGGAAAAAAGTAACCACAGCACAGAAAACAAGTTCATGCTTTCTTCCCCCCCACAGAAAAAGAAAAAAGCAACCACCATCCACCAAGTCTAGAAAAATATGTGTGTCTCTTCCATATAAGAATTCACCAATACCTTTTATTACAATCTGTCTCACCCCTTGTATTTTACAGTCACAGTAGCACAAAGGGTTATAAAGAGATTGGAAAAATATAATAAGGTAATTATCTGAGGAGCAAAAAAGTTTGCTTACTTTATTGCCAGCATGAGAGGAAGGCAAGGAAAAAAAAGGTCTTTTCCCTTCTCAGGTTTACAGGTTATTGGGTACCTTTGCCTGGTCTTTTTTTCATTCAAATGTCATTAACATTCTAGGGAAAGCTAGTAGTTTCTTGCAGACTAGATTTGACAAAATTGAATTAATTGGGTGATTTTCTTTTGACTTCAATAGGAGCAGACTCAAATCACAGAGAGCCTAACAACACAGTAGAAATAAAATTCAGTCTTGTATGCAGGCAGAGTGCAGCTATTTATGTTTTTATCAGGCAAAAAGCACCTGTGAATATTAGCTCACTTAGTAATTTGCTTAAAAATATTTCTTACTCTGTGTTTTGCTGTTCCCCATTTGAGTGATAGTCTCACAATGACAGGTCTGAACATCCGAGCGGCTTTCTGAAAGTGTTGGCAGGTGCCACATATGGGAATCTACCCCAGTGACCGATTCAGCAGCCCTTTGAGTTAAATGCAAATTTAGAAGTGACAGTGACATGTGAACTGACTATACAGAGACAGGGAGGATTAGTTAAGGTTATAAACTCAGACTTTAAGATACAGTTAAAGTATTTTAAGTTGAAGCACAAAACTCAGTGCTCTGTACATATTCTACATAAGTTATCTTCCTCCAGAATAACCTCCCTTTATCTTTTCATCGGTTTTGGGGGTTCCTGGCACTTACTGCTCACATACAGTATCTTGAAAATTTCCCAAGAAATTTTTGCTACCCACACTTTATCATCAACTCAATTATATGAGAACATGTCTCTGATCACTAGTTGTTATAAAAATGATATATCTCATAGGAAACTGCAGTTCTTTCCATGGAGTTGTCTTCTGCAAGGCAGTGTGCTTTGCTGTCAACCTGTCATCTGTGCTGTTCATGTGCTACGTAGTCTCTAATAAATAACAGCATCTGTCGCAGACAGAAAACTCTCAACACTGATAAATATCATAGTTGTTACTTGTTTTCCTCAGGTCAGAAGTTAAGAAGGTATTAAGTATCTTTTGTACCTCAGGCATATGGCCCCTTTTCGGTAGATTAAGAAGTGCAGAGAATTATGCGCCCCAATGCTTTTCACTCCTGTCAATAGAAATAAGATCTGGCCCCACGGCATCGTGCTTTACTTAACGATGAAGCTCAGCACATCACTGAAGCCTCAAAATCATTTTAGGGATCTCTTCACTGGTAGGAGTTAGGGGTTTTTTCATTATGTCCAAAAGGACTAGTGTCATTTCTGTGTGTTTATTCCAAGCACAGAAACCAACATGAGTGTGCTTGGCCTATCATACCCTCGCTAGTCAATGTAAAAAAGGGAGTGGACGTTTGTATTAAAACACAAGGCCCCTCATACTCTAGTATGATGTCAGTAATACAGCTCCTCAGAGCATGTTATTGTTTTAAACAGAGGTCTCCACACTTTCACATTGGTTATAAAATACTTAGTGCTGCTGGACTGGAAGGAAAATGTCATACATCTGCAAACAATTAGAAGGAGCTGGACTTCATCTTTGATTTACTAAACAATAAAACAAGCTTAAGTGTGACTGTATGTGTAAGTTACACTCCCTAGGAGCCTCAAGCAGTTATCATAGCAAAGTCTTTTAACCATAATTAAATAAATCCACAGTGGGACCATTGCTGATCAAGATTATCTTTTATAAGATATTTTCAGCAGTGAAAAGTATGAAGATCATGAAGTTGAATATATGCTTTTAAGTGCTCCAAAAGTCTTTCATTCTTTCTTTCAAGCACACTGTCCACTACCCGTTTTCCAGCTGGAATTCATTCAGTACAATACATTTCAGCTTTTAAACACTAATATTTCTATGCTTCCTGCACTTAAATTGAAGTTTTGGCATGAGGAAATTAGTAGCAAAACTCTGCTTCAGTCAAGCTCAAGATTTCACCATAGTTTGTGTGTCTTCTAGTTAAAAAGTCCTGGTACTATAACAATGGTTAGTTGTTGTTATAAATTAACCAAAGATTTGTGAATTGAATATAAATATTTAGTTGCAAGCTTCAGCAAGCCAGAACATGGAGTAAAATAATAGTAAGGTATCACCACCAATCTTCTCAACAAAACAAAACCCTCAACCAGTTGTCTGTCTCTAAGTTAACCCTAACTCTCAACCTTTATTTGGAATATAGGGTATTGGCAGTACATGCTGTTAAACTTCCCTATGCTATCCCCAATTTATACACCTAAAGCCATTGTAGCAAGAGTGATGTTTGCGTTTGGAAATTTTCTAGCATTACTTGTAATTTTTATAAAACAAAATTGTTGTTACACACTGAACCTGAAGCGGTTTATTGCAATTGCAAAGCCACAGTAATGCAGCATCACCTGAAGGAGGGAGTGTCAGATCAAACACAAGTCCAGTATTCTGTTCCTGCTTCTGCTGCTGTTTTGCCAAGGTAAACTAAGGAAAAAAACATTTGCCATCCTTGGCATTGATTTTTCCGTGATAACCATGAGCATTTACTTAAGGTTACGGGGATTGTGGTACTGACCTCCTGCGGTAGGTTCTTTACTTGACATTCTTGAATTAGAGTGACAGAAGTGTTGAACATTAGCAGATAAGCCAGAAATGCAACTCTAAGGCTTTGCCTACAAAAAATAACTTATCCAGCCTCCATGATGATTACTATGCTTCAGAATGACAGGGAATTTACTTACTAGTGATAAATAATGTTCTGTATACATGAATACCAGGGAGAAAGGAACTACCACTGTATATTACAGCTTGCCCTGATTATAGGCACTCAAGTATTACTTTATAGATTATACTGTTGTGGACCACAAAGTGGAAAAGATGAACCATGGGGTCAAGTTTTGCCCTCTGTTTGCATGGGTATCCCACTAACGTGCTTGAAAACCAAGTTTATGAACACGGAGTAGAATATATTTTTATGAAAAAACAAAACAGTGGATGAAACATTTGTTACTTCAGCAAGTATAAGAGTAAACTATTTATATAAAATAATAAATGAAACGGTCTTAGTTTACAGTAGTGCTCATGAGTCTGGTTCCCGAATGCATACAATTAACATTGCTAATGCCCTGAGAATTTTGGCACTGTGTGTGGTGTATGTACACTCAGATGAAAGCTCTCCATTGCCATAGTTTCAAAGACTGGCTAGACTATGACTGGAAGTGAGCTGGCAGGGTCTGTGTAGAACTACTTCCATAGAGATCAGAAGACCACAAGCTGTTCAGATGTTTGGTTCCTATTGCTTGAGAAATACTCCTCATACATAATAAAACCGCTGTATTCTTCTGTATTACAATCTGGTCTAAGCAAAAGTTCATATGCTCATTATTTTTTGTTCCACTCACCATTCTCTTACTAAAAAACCACGTAGTTTTGCAAATCTTTAGAAATCATCTATAATATGACTTGCTGTTTTGCCTACTTTTTTCCAAAGCACTGCCTCTCCTGGATATACTTAATACAACACAAAACATTTGACTAAAGCTGCTTACTTGCATGAAGGTTTTGGGTTTGCATGAAGGTTTGTAGACCCTTTTTGAGGATCTACAGACAACAGAATTAATTCTACTTGTTAGCCTGAAATAGATGGAACAGACCATAAGGCTGCAACAAACTGCAAGTTCTGTTAACTTGAACAGTAACAACACGCATGTATTTTATTTACTTATCTTAAGGAAGTGTGTACGTGTCTAGTTTAATGGTGCAACAATATACACTCTTAAATGCAGGAGTTGTAGGCTGTCATTTTCCAGGCATTAGATTTATCACATACACTCCAATTATACTGAAAGTAAAACGTACAGCAGCCTGCTTACCTTGGCACACATTGTGATCACTTTGCTCATACCCAGCTGCACACTGAATTTGATGAGTTGGGTTTGGAGGGGCACGGTGAGGATCGGCTGGAGTCCGCCGAATAACGTTGTTTCGACCACTAGTGGATTCAGCTGCTGCTTCTTCTCGCTCATTTACAATAATTTGTGCTGTTCTAGGTAGACAGAGGTATCCTCCATAGTGGTTAACACATTTCATCCCACCTTTACATGCATCTGGGACTATTTCACATTCATCAATATCTGTGGTTAGCAACAACACAAGTCATGCTTTTAACAGTCGAAACTTCTGCAACAGCCATTAATACAAGTAACACAATGAGACATGCAAGCACACCTTGTCCAAAACAGGGGTGTGTAATGATAACACTTAGAAAATACCAAAGGCAAGTCTGCCTTTGAAAATTATTTACTGTACCTTTGCACCGTTGCCTAAGAGGATCCCATTCATAGCCATCTGTGCATTGCTATAGAGAAAAAAAAAAAATTAAAGTTAGGCTACTCGGGATCCTTTTTATTTTGGAAATATAATCAAGCATATTTCAATGAACTCCTAAGGGAAATTAAATGTTTGCATATCTTGGTAAGCTAGAAAAATGGCTATTGGTAAAGCACTGCTGTGCAGGAACAACAACAAGTACATACAGAGAGAGCCTCTGTCTCAGGAAGTTCCTAAGATATCGTTTGTTGTCAGTGTGTAGGTTTTATTTGGGCTGGAGAACAAAGTGAGAAAAGCATCACTTTCTCCTTGCATTGTTCCTGTATGTTGTTTTAAAGCATCTGTCATTGGCTGAAACCTGGAATAAATGAACCTCTAGGCTGACCCAACTGACCAGTATGAAAATCTTCTTATGAAAAAGCAGCAAGTTTTTCTGACTTTTGATCTTGTTCCCTGCCTTCCAACAGGTGAACATCCTTCATTCCGGGGACCGGTTTGCCAGAGAGACTGATGGGCCTCTATCCCCCTGTACTTCATCCTCTCTCCCATTAGCACTCTAGCAATGGGGAAGAATCCCATGACAGCTGGAAATTCATTCACATGCTTTTTAATCACAGGACTCCAGGAACTGCAGTCTAGGAAGAACGATTTATATTGTGAGACATACAGTAGACGGTTAGAGCTTATAACAGCAGGACTAGTTACATAAATAAGACTTCGCAAAATTCAAACAAGATTATACTCAGAAACTATTCATATCAACACAGACTAATAACTTCAGGAAGAATTTTAAATGTTCTGCCCTGCAGTTAGGTAAGCATCTTTATCATTCCCTGCCCCGAAGCATTAAGTTGTCTGGAGTGCAGTAATTTTAATCACAGGTGACAGTTGCGGAAACCGATTAGCAAAGTATCACAATGCAACCAGCTACAGCAGACACATTTAAAATATCAATGAGTCAACTGCGCTGTACTATGTAGGTGCGTATGCACCCTATGCTGCTTAGGATATTACTTTAATGGCCCTATAGAAGAAAATAATCGAGTCGGCTAACGTAATTAGTCACAGTCAAGCAAGCTAAATCTTGTTGCAGCTCCCCTGGCACAGAGGAACTATACAGGTGACAAATTTGACTGTCTGATGCCAAGATACACTTGTTCTATGTTTTATCCTCAGGTTATTTTGAGGAACTTGTTACTGAGGGACACTGACTCAGCATTAGAATTGGAAATACTTTCTTCGTTTGCAGGTGACACCAGCGATCTGCCAAATGTAGCAGCGAGTTGTAACTTCGGAGGCTTTTTCTTCCAAAGGGGTAAGTGGACAGCAAATTGTATTACAATTCTCAATCTCTAAAGGAATGACTACATGCTGAGTTGACAACACCAAAGTTACTGTAGCTATGAAAACGCAAACCCAAAGGAAAACAGCTAATTCATGCATTTACTGAATCACCCGATTCCTGTTAATGCACAACAGAAGTACTGTCTATTTAACTGTAAGGAGCCAAGTCCATCTATTACTGCAGCTGAAGGGACTTTTACAATAGAAGAGGATTTGGCCCTAAATGAATACAATGTACGCATGAGAAACAGTAGCATTCTAAGAGTAACATTTCTAAAAGCTAAGGCTTTTTTTGTTAAATAGTTTTACGTGATTAGAGTCTAATGATCACTGAGGCACCTAAACGCTAAGACCTCTTTGAAAATGGAGTATAGGAACCCAAGTCATATATGCATGCTAGAAACTTTCCATTTGTATAAACAAAACTATGTAGGCCTATCAGAAAATGCTACTTAATTTTTTTTAATAAAGAACATGTAATAAATGCAGAAAAGGAGGGGTTGGGATCCCTTTGTCAATCTAGATTTTCAAAAGGTACTTAGATCTTCAGTTTCCAATATAGAGAGACTTAAAAAATCACAGAAGCCTCTATATAGAGCCTTCAAAAATCTATTGCTTCTGAAGCCCAGTGTTAAAGTATTTTATGACTGACTTCCTAATGCTCACTTGAAGCTTCTTTGAGCACCGTCTTCTACAATAAGGTCCAACTCTGCAATATTTACTTGCTTGAGCCATCCCACTGACTTCAGTGGGATTACTTGTATAAGACACAATCTCAGTCTTTGGCTGTGGTTCTCTAACTTTTTGCATGTGTGCAGAATTTTCTGCTTGTGTGGCATTGCGCTAATGTCTGTACACATATTCAGAGGTCCACCCATATGAAGCAAGTTGCAGGGATTACAACTGTAATCAGATGTGAAAATGCGGGTTTTTCCCCAGCCCAAGCCGATGTAATTGCCACTCCTTCGATGACATGCATTATGCAAGCCAAAGACTGAACACAAGCAGACTGGAAGAAAAAGCCTTACAAAAAGGCCTTTAAATCTCTTACCCCATCACTTGATTACAAGCAGAACCTATTTCCACTATTCTTGTACAATTTTATCGAGTCAGGCAAAACCACTGCTCAAAACCAGCTCAGAAACTAACAGCCCTGTGATCACCCCAAGGACTTAGGCGCCTCGTTAAGAGCACTGAATTTTGAAGTACTTACATTTTGTTAAAAACAGCTTGAAATATCCAAAAGAAAACACAGAAGAATGTTTGACCCAATTATCTGTCAAATTCCATATATTTCAAATGAAGGTCCTAGGGACCCTGCCTTTAAGAAAATGGATTTTAAAAAATATTAAAACTTCATAATTTTGTTCAGCTCATCAAGCTGAGTACATAGATAAGCTTTTCAGAACAGGCAGTTATAGCCCATTTTGTTCAATCTTGTCAACTTCAACTTTAAAACTGTTTCAGCACAGGAACAGCTTATTTTATGGTTAACATTCGAACTCAGAGAACTTTGTATTGCATGCTATACATTGGCAAGAAATTTGGTTTTTCTTAAGGGTCATTTAGAAAAGAATCCCTGCAAAGCAGTAATTATCTCGAACTGTATTAAACCTTACCGTGTATGTTATGGTTTCCTCAGTTTCCTGCGAATGTACTGTAATAAGAATGAGAGCAGCCAAGAACATAGCTGTCAACATGGTGAACCTTGAAAGAGAAGAAAAACAAATAAAGGGGGAATATTTTTAGCGCTCTCCTTCGCTGGAGGAAGCAGTCAGCACCTCCGGGAGCGGGTCCTGCCCGGGCTGCGAGCCCCGGGCGCCCGCCCAGCCCCTACCTGGGTGAAGCGGCGGGACGCTGCCCCTTTTCTCCTGCAAGAAGAGGGTGAGGTTTGGCTGTGCTTCCAGTCCCTCGTATTTAATCCAGCTGGGGCGGGGGGGGGAAGAGAAAAAGTAATAATAATAAGTAAACGGAGTTTAAAATAACATAGCACTTAATGCCACAGTGGAGTGGAAGCGCTGCGCTCCGGTGCGGCGCGGGGCAAAGAGCAGGCAGCGTGACTGCCCTGCAGTCGCACGCTTTGGGGTGGCAAAACTATTTTTCGGTAAAAGCTCACTGTCTGCCAGAAGGGCGGGCGGCCGGAGGGGAGAACCACCTCTGCGGGCACCGC